ACCCAATGGGGCACCAAGGGGCACCGGGGAGCACCCAATGGGGCACCAAGGGGCACCGGGTGGCCCCAGGTGACACTGGGTGACACCACGTGGCACTGGGTGACACCACATGACAYCGGGTGACACTATGTGACACCACGGGGCACTGTGTGTGGCATCGCGTGGCACCCAACGGTGCACCAAGGGGCACTGGGTGGCACCAGGTGACACCACGTGGCACTGGGTGACACCACATGACACTGGGTGACACCACGTGACACTGTGGGGCACCACGTGTGGCATCGCGTGGCACCCCATGGGGCACTGGGTGACACCGTGGGGCACCGCATGTGGCATCACGTGGCACCCAATGAGGCACCAAGGGGGAGCGGGTGGTCCCTGGTGACACTGGGTGACACCACATGGCACTGGGTGACACCACATGACAGAGGGTGACACCACGTGATACCGTGGGGCACCATGCGTGGCATCGCGTGGCACCCAACGGGGCACTAAGGGGCACCCAATGGGGCTCTACATGTGACACCACATGTCCCCATGTGTCCCCGTGTCACACATCCCCACATGTCCCCATGTGCCCCGATGTGTGCCCCCCGCACGTCCCTGCGTGTCCCCATGTGTCACCCGTGTGTCCCCGCATGTCACCATATGTCACCATGCGTGTCCCTGTGTCCCGTGTCACCATGGCCTCCCGTGTCCCCCCATGTCCCCTGTCCCCATGTGGCACTTTGCGTGTCACCCTGTGTCCCCGCATGTCACCATATGTCCACACGTGTGTCCCCGTGTCCCGTGTCACCATGTCCTCCTGTGTCCCCCATTTCCCCGTGTGTCCCATGTCACCGTGTCACTCTGCGTGTCACCCGTGTGTCCCTGCATGTCACCATATGTCACCATGCGTGTCCTGTGTCCCCATGTCCTCCCGTGTCCCCCCATGTCCCCCTTGTCACCTTGTGTCACTCTGCGTGTCACCTGTGTGTCCCCGCATGTCACCATATGTCACCACGCGTGTTCCGGGCCCCCATGTCCTCCTGTGTCTCCCCATGTCCCCGCGTGTCCCGTGTCACCACGTGTCACTCTGCATGTCACCCGTGTGTCCCCGCATGTCCCCGCGCGTGTCCCCGTGTGTCACTGTGTCCCCTACCGCTTCTTGGCGATCTCGTTCTGCCGCTTGACCTTCTCCTCCTCGAACTCCCGGATGTTCCGCACGCCGATTTCCCAGCAGAATTCCTCAAAAACCTCGTCCTCCAC